AATTTCTTGGTTGTAGTTGATGGGTTTTATGATTAAAATATAAGTTATGAATATTAATATCAGAAATAATACTTTTGTTCTGGTATTTGAACTTGATAATGTTACAAAGCATTTATTACTGGATTTAATTTAGTGACATGGAATTCTCAGGATGAGTGTTGTACTCTGTATAGTTTAGATTAGTAAGAAGATTAGAGGAAGAAGTATTTATTATGATAGAAAGTTGAAATCTAAAATAATGGGTAGAAATAACATATAGGTGATATTTTTTGATAGTGCTCTTAACCCAGTGATGTGAAATAATGATTAGCCTTTTGACAATCTATGCCAACTTTTGGAAATTTTTGAAATGTGTTTAGAGTATTAAGAATGATTAAATGCTTAGAATTTGAGACCAAGAGTACCTATGTGCTTTTTCATTTATTTGCTAGGTGTGAATCATACATTATACCCCAGAAGTGCTTAGATATTATTTGCAAGGGCTGCACTTATGCAACTCTTGAGTTCTTTCTAAAACAGTCATATTATTTCTTTCTATAATTGAGCCACTTTGTTTAAATTTATTTAAATAAATAAGTCAAAGGTTGAATATAGAAAATTTTGCAGTGATTACAGTGAATCTTTTTGTGTTACTGTTATTTTTAACAGTGCCCTCCTAGAGAACACAGTTTATTTTTACGGAATATCAAAAAATATTTATTTAGTGTTCAAAATTTTCATTAGCTGCAAACTTTTAAGAAAAGATATTTTCTCTCTGTTGTTAAAAATGGGCTTGCATGCGATATATGCACGTTCCTAGAAGTTGTACTTATTTAGACACCTTGTGTTAGGAATTTATAAATAACTAGCCTGCTCACTCAAAATTAGAGCAACTAAAATCCTTGATTCTCACAATTAAAATAGCAGAGGAACTCATATTAACATTGTAAACTCTGATACGTACTTGCTGCATTAACCTTATTAATCATTTAATGATTTTCTATTTCACTTGTATTTTATTAAGATTTATAGAGCAAACAGTGAGTTTCCTTATGTATTTACTCTTTACTAAAGGTAAAGTACCTAAACCTTTCTCTAACCCAGTGGTTTTTATTCATCAGAATCACCTGAAGAGCTAATTAAACTCAGATTGCGGGATATGGCCTCCCGATTCTGAGTCTCTCTGTCTTGAGTAGGGCCTGAGAATGCGTTTCTGACAAGTGCCCTGTTGATGCTGGTGCTGCTGATCTGAGGACCACATTTTGAGGACCAGTGCCTAACTATCCTAACTCATCTGTGCATCTTTCCAAATATGAAGTAAAATAGGATCAATTTTTTTAAAAGTTAAAGTATGTAATGTATATCTAGAATTCATTTTCTTTGTGAGAAACAGTAATTCCATTTCCTTCAAGTCATAATCAAAGGTCCACCTATTTAAAAAACTGTATTTTTTCCCTTCCGCCTTGTTCTCATTCATACTCAAATGTATGCTTAACATTTGAGAAAAGTGTAGGTTTTTAACATAATTCACATAATTAACATAATATACTGATACGTTGTTAGTACAACCATATCTTTACTAACGAAGACACCCCGCCCCCGGGAGAAAATTATGCCAGGAACTATACCCAGGAACTATGCCCCGCGCTGAGAATACAAACAAGTGGATGCCTTTTTTTTCTTGGCTTAGTTGTGCCATTTCCATTTCTTTACAATGAAAACTTGAAGCACAGCAATTGGTGGGAATTTACTTTGCTTCTGTGGCTAATTGCTTTCTCTTTCCCTGTCGTCTTAAATGATAGCAGTTTAGAATTTTATAGTCTTACCAACAGTGTATTGGTTAAGAAGTTTTCAGATTTTTTTTTGTACTAACAGCTCCCATTGGATATTTCCTTTTCCCTTCACTTACTGTATGTGGAAACTTAAGGCTAGTTGCTTCCTTCATCATTGAATGTACGTAGTCTGTATTTTTATTTCCGTCATTTGGACCTCTGAAAGCTTTGGTTTTCTTTCCCATGAATCAAGATCCTGGTATACAAATGTGATATTCTTTTGTGTTCCAATTCTTGCTGACCCTTTACTATTTTAGCCCCTGAATGTCTTTTTCCCCCCTTCAAGATTAATTTTTTTAAATGTATCATATATAAAATGAATGTTTTTGACATCTTGACATGCCATGAATTCTAGAAATATACATAATTTTACTTGCAGGAACTCCATTAAGTCTCCTTGGCTTCAATTTTACTTAGGAAGATAGCCCAAGAATTAACTCTGTTTGCTCTCTTAAAGTGAATGTTTTGTACAGTGTGATTATTAATGATGGTGATTGCTTTTGGCACTTATTTGAACCTGTAATTTTGGTAAGATGACTAATGCAAAGATCAAAAAGAGTAAATATGAGCAATTATTCTTCATTTAAATGATGTTGGTCTTTTAAAATATAATGGAAGCAGGACTACTTTATCCCTTGTATACTTCTAAACATACTGTGACATTGAAAATTATAAAATAAAATTTAAATTCCATAGTAAAGGCATATATATTCTTCTGATCTTCAAGCGGGAAAAAATTGGGTAATCATCAATATATGCTTTATTTTTGAAAAAAGATATCAATGTCCAAACCCTTTGAGCTCCATCCTTTGTCACCTTGGTCGAAAGTCCTTGGTGCTCTCTGTGCATTTCAGCCCTGAGTACAACTCCCTCTCTCCCACCTGTTCTTGGTTGGATGGCGTGAGAGGAGGCGTCTGTGGAAAGGGGCATGGCGACCATGCATATGAAAGTTTACGAACAAGTGGCGTTGCTTTATGTGCTTTCTATCATGAATATGTTTTAGATACGTTTTAAAACCATTTGCAGCATGGCAGGGTTAACATTGTTGAGTGGTTATAATATGTATACTGAGGGAGTGTATAAAAGAGATACCTAACTCACATGAGTTTATTTTGTTTCCGAAAGGTGTGAGGGTGATACAAACAGGATCCTTGTATGTGTAAATATATGCCAAAAACTTTAGTTTTTGATGGGGACCCAGGCACACGGTTGAGGGTTCCTGGAAGATCAAGACACTTGGAAAAAAAGCAATGAACTCTCTCTTTGCTGTAAATTTAACAAAGGAGAAAATGAAACATTAGTTGAAACATTAGATATTGACCTATTGAGAAATCTTAAACTCATCTTCTCTGCTATTTAAAATTTTAGGATGTAAAATTGGGTTCTGTGACTTATGTTAAAATAATTCATTTACACTAAATTGAGTACGATTGGCAAATTTCCTCAAGTGATTGAACCAATTTATAAGAAATACAGAATTATGAGAGTAAAACATAAGAATGTGACGGGGCACCATTTGCATTATGCACGCTCTTAGAAATGATTTTGTATGGTGTGTTTTTAAAAAATGTGGCCTAGAGGACTGTAGATTAATTATGATAAAACTTAGTTTAGTATGCACACAAACAATATTAGTTATAGTTTATTTAATGTTTCAGGCTTTTGTTTATAATATACCTTGACCTGGAAAACTTAACCTCTTTGATTCTGTAGCAGTTTCCAGGCCTTGCTGCTCTTTAAGGAAGAGTCAGCCTGGCTTGAGTTGAGATGGCTCCAAGGTGCTTGACTTAGCCTACCCACCCCTCTCTGACACAGTTGTCCTTCCACGGTCCTTTAGTTAATTCCTGTGCTGAAAACTGGGCTGCACCCTGGCTGCCTGGCTGAGTTGAAGCGCTGTCCAGTGCACCAAAAGGTGACAGGTGCCATTCCCCGTCAGGGAACGTACCCAGGTGTCGGGTTCGATCCCCGGTTGGGAAGTGTGCGGGAAGCAACCATTTGATGTTTCTCACATCGATGTTTCTTTCTCTCTCTCTCTCAAAGTAAAAACGTATCCTAGGGGGAGGGTTAAAAAACAAACCAACCCGGCTGCTTTTTCATTCTTTACTTACCGTTTTATAGCCCAGTTATTTTATGCACTATGTCGTGTCTGGTATGCAAGTTGTTAAATAAGTTTTGTTACAGTGTTCTTTTTCTGCTTGCTTTGCTGCTTAATTTATATAGTATTGGAAAATAGAATAAAAGCCTGCAAATGTTTTTTATAAAGGATAATTCTTGCCTTCACAAAGCTCATAAAAAAGATCATTTGGATAAATTCCTAGAACTTAATAAATATCTTGCCTGGAATTCTAACTTAATTCTAATAATCTTGATAATGTACTGACAACACAAAAGTAAGAAGATACTTCCAGTAGGAATAAATAGGACATTCTAGGCATCATGTGAGCGACATTCTTTTTCATGTTATATTTCAGGAAGTCTTGATTTAGAAGAGCCGAGGTTCATAGTTGTATCATATTAATAGTATAGTAAGCGCATTAATGTAGCAAAAGAGTAAGAACAATGTTTAGACACTCAGTAGCACTCAGAATGTGGCAGGCACTGTGCTAAATGCTTTAAATGTGTCCTATTATTTATGCAGGCGTGTCATGGCAAGGGCTGTGGTGTGTGGGATTCAGGAGTATAGAAAGTGCCTGTAATAGAAAACTTAACACAAAACCCGATTTAGAGGATAACCCTGAAAACCTGGCTCCTCGTTTGTTTTAACGTGTTGTCTAAACTTACTTTCAAGCTATTCCGTTTGTGATTGTATGTTCTCTTCAGGTCATAGTACCGTATTTTATTGTCATTGCAATTCTTAAATATGTTCTGGGAAGTTTTCTTTTCAGTATATGTTAAATATGTTAGAAATTCTAATGAAAAGGTATAGCAGAATAATAGAGACCTGTTAAGCTCTTTTCTTTTTACTTCGAGTTAAAATTTAACGTGACCCACAATACAGGAATATTACAACATAAAGAAAATACGACTTTTGTAAGCCTAACAATGAAGCGAAACCGAATGTCGATTGAATTTTTGGTGTCATGGTACTAGTTACTTGAGGAAAAACTGAGTCAGTTCTCTGTTATATTTCTCTAGTAAAAATACGCAGATAAATTATGTCACACAAGTTCAATTCGTTTTGTTTTCCAGGTGCAACAATCGAACACAGTGTATAGTAGTTACTGGGTCAGATGTGTTTCCTGATCCATGTCCTGGAACATACAAATATCTTGAAGTCCAGTATGAATGTGTCCCTTACAGTAAGTATGCAATTTATGTTTTTCACTCTCTCCAGCATTCCTCGTTGATGCTGAAAGACTACACACGTGAAAGAAGCATATGTTTATGGCCTACAAAACCATTATGCATGCAGAGCACTAACAGACTCGGGCCTCCAATTAGCTTCATGAAGTGTGGAAGGAAGCCATAGTGTCATGCTGGCCAAGTGTCTGTCTGTGTTCTTAAGTGTTTGGCTTTTAAGGCTAGTGTTTTTCCAGAAAACAAACTTGAATTAGCTATTCAGTAGGGCAGATAGAAATCTGTACTTTTGCCCGATACCAGTTGCTGACAAATTGGTTTGGCTCACAGTTTTGTAAAGAAGGAACTGACTTTGGTTTTCATCGTGAGCTACTTGAATGGCTACCTGCTGTCGTGGTAACTTTAGTGCCTGTGAAAAGCTACCATTGCAGTAACTGAGGCCAGTGCTTTGCTGTTTGTTCCTTTGTCCTTAAGGGAGCATTTCTTTACCGGAGTCATTGATAAAAACTTAACACTAAATAAAATAGGCATAACAAGACCTTGCACATATTTCTATTTTTAATTTGGCCTAATGTTCATTTTTAGTGAGGTCCATAAAGGGATATTTAAAATTCAATTGGAAATCTAAGTAGGCTGCAACTAATGTTCTCATTCTGTATAGTTTTCCTCTGAACCTCAAAATTCATACTTCTAAATTGTATTCTATGCATTCATTGTACATTTGAGACAACTAAAAAGTTTCAGTATGATAGTACCTAATTTTCATAAGTTTGTTTGATAGTGTTCTTGTGTTCTTTACTTTTAAACGTGGGGGGAAAAATGTGTGATGTCACCTCCATTCATAGGCATTTGAATGAAAAGTTCTTTAGCAGCAATTTTATTGATTTGAAATAGCTTGGGTATTCTTCCCTCCTAAACACAAAACAAAACTCAGATTCAAACTAAATAATGAAATTACTTTTTCCAGAACCTCAAAAACGAGATCACTAGTTCTGATAGATTCATATGTCAGTTTTTCTGTAACCAAAGGGCTGAAATCTAGTAGATGTCCTATGTCCAGTGTGATAGCAATGCATTCTTACGCATCGTGTGAAGGCGCTGTCTCTCTCTCTTCTGCCCACAGTTTTGATAAATTGGCTTTTTGTGGGGTATCAGTTAAAGGCCAAACACAGCTGATGTTTTCTCTTCATTCCTGCTCTGTGTTCCTGTGTTACTGTGAAATGGATGCTTTTTATGTTTTCAGTATTTTCTATACCATTTGTAGGATTGGAAGCCTACTGAGTGCACTGATCTTGATGTCACTTCTCCTGTGTGTAGTGTTGGTGGCTTACATTCTATTCTCCTGTGCCACTAGAGGAACATTGTATTCTTTTGAGCTAACCAAAATTTTGTTTCATGAAGTCCCTTTCGCTTGAATTTAGCATGGTTTCTGTCCTCAAATTAGAAAAGGAGTATACACCATCCATTCCCATACAGTGGAATCAGTCAGAGCTGCCAAGAATTGTGTCTTTCTGGAGCCTGTTCCTGTCACCTAGTCTATAGACCAAGAACAGAGTGAAGCAAATATTATTTTCAGACTCTTAAGTTATTTCTTGTGCTGTTTAAGAAAGGAAAAAGTGGATATCTTCTGGAACGTCTAACTTTCAAATTTTTTACTTTTTCAGTTCTCCAGAAGTATTGTACATTGTGCACTAAACAAATAGCTATACTCAGAGAAGTATTTGTTTTTTTTTGTTTTTTTTTTGTTTTGTTTTTTGTAGATTTTTGTCCTTTAAGTAAAACCCAGGAATTAATTTGCTGTTATCTTTCTAGATGTTTGCACAAGGCAGAAATAAGTCTGTGACCTTTTTTTTTTTTTAAAGTACTTCTTGCTAAAGAACTGACTTAATTATAATTTCTGTATCCCATACAGTAGTGACACACTATCAATTGCATGATTTTTACTAATATTAAACTATAATACAAAGGATCTTTTTAGGTGGTTCTGATTTTATGCAGGACTATGTATTTTCTTATCTCTTTTCCCTGTTTCTCAATTCTTTTTGTTTCTTTGTGATTCTGTTCATTGTGCCCATTCCTCACACTTGGGTTTTTTTTTTAGGCCTGTAGCATTAGCTTTCCCCTTGTTTTAACAGTGTTTTTGTACTTGTACCATTTGCATACCCCTTACACTATACTTAGTTGATAAAAATGGTCACCATCAGGTAATATTTATTATGTGTCCCTTACCATCCTGCTCTATGGCAGTTTCTATCCAGAGCAAATTCTCCAGGAGCTTATACATCCCAAGCTATTTTCTCTTCTTTTAAAAACTATTCAGAAAATTTTTCATGGTTTCTGAAAATTTTATAATTAATTTACTCAACAGAATCCATTAGAAATCCTGTTTGTTTTACTTTGCATGTTTATAGACAGGCACGTCTATTATATCTGACATACATTCCTTCCCAGATAATGTCTATGTCAAAAATATCTGTACACAGGTCATCCTTTATCCTTAACAGAAGTGTTAGTAATTGAATGTATGTGTTTAAGAGAACTCATAAGGTTCTTGTAGGGTAAAGGAGACAAATCAGATTGGAAATTCATATTCTGTAGGCAGGATTTGGTTTTGATTTTAGTATTCTATTTCAAATTATCATTAAATTATAAAAATTATATCCTGATTTTAGCTATAAATTTTATTCGAAAAAAGTAGCCATTATGGTTGATTAAATCATTATTCATGAATAAACAAACATGAGATTATTCAAAATGAAATAGTGTGTCACTTCAGATACAGAGTATATAGACTTTAGTTTGCTTGGGTCAGTTTCTTGTTTTAATGTCCATGTAGTCCTTCTCTGATGTTAGTGGACCATGTGTTTATGTTTGTTTGGTCTGTAGAATAGTAACCATATTGTTATGAATTTATTCATATAGTCTCTTAAGACAAGCTGCAGTATATATTTGGCATGTGATGAAGAATGCTAATTTCATTCATTTTATTGTGATTCTCTATTATTCTGGGTTGAGGAATTTTAATGGGCTAATTTGACGTATACCTACGCTTTGGATTTTCATAAAAGTTATAATGTATAAGAACATTTGTTTTAAGTATCCGTATCTTTTTTGATTCATTAGTCACCAAAGGTGTTATGTAGTTACTTTTTTTATCTTCACCTTTGGATAATTCTTAGTTTTCATCAGAATTATAAATTAGATACAATTAGTAACCATTTTATTTTTTTAATATATCAGTTAAATCGCAAACAAAAGACTTCCCTATTTAATATTATCTTTCTCAGTAACTGCACTGTCACTTTAGTTTATCAAATAATAAAACCCAGCCATTTTCAATTAATGGAAAACAAAATATACTTTCTACATTCTTTATTGAACTTGTTTTAAATACATAACATTTTAAAGTGTATTATTCCCATCCTTTACATGTAATTGATTTATTTCAGTAAAATCGTCCTTTCCTAAAAGAATATAGCTGTATAAAAATACAGTCTGAGCAGTCACAACACTAATGATTTCTCTTGTCCTCATTTTCCCCCCACGCCCTTCCGTTATTGATTCTAAGCAGGTATAATATTGCTCTTCACCGAGGAGTCATTCTAGGACTAGTGGTTTATAAAAAAGTGTTTCTTATCAGTAACACTTAATTTCTTCTTTTTACTGGATGCAGTCAGAATTACACATTGTAGAGCAAGTATGTTTCCTGAAAGTAGTTAAATGCACCAAGTTGGATGGGGGAGGCGATTGCTTAATGTGGAAGGCCTATGCTATTTTTATGGCAAAAATATTAGTGTCATGTTTCTCCCGAAAGTATTTCAGGAGGTCAGTATTTAATCTTGATGAATTATTGTAAATTTAAAAAATTAACCGCTCTAAGATATCTTAATGAAATGTGCGACTACAGTGTCTTTGAGTAATCAGTTTGGAGATACAGTACTAGCACATCCTGATGCATTTTAATAAGGGGAGGAGAGGGAGCATAGACATTATTAACCCGGACACTTGATAAAATTCAGGCAACATACTTCAGAGCCTACATACAATCTAAAATGATGCTTTATGGTTTGTAATTCTTAGAATACTATTTGCCAGCAAGAACCTCACATAGCACCCTTCCTTAACTGCATAACCCATTTCTTTAAACTTCTCGGAGGGAGGATTTTTTTCGCTTATCACTGTACTAATCAGGTTTGTTTTATGAAAGCATTTACCTTTTCTGGGGGTCTGTGAAGTCAAGGTATTTGCTTTGAATGCTTGGTATGATCGTTGTTGCATGCTAGCTTGCTTTCTGTGTAAATTGACAATGGTAGACAATGTCATAATAAGCTAACCATAATTCTTTCTTCCTTTTTCTCCTTGCCTACTGTGCTTGCTTTTTCCTTGTATGTATTTTGCTTACTCTTTTTTAATAGTCTTAGTATTACAAGTTTGAGATATGTATTATAGAGAATTGATTTTATAATATGAAATATATATAATTTTTATACTTAAATTTACAATTATTAGTGGGGAAGGGAGGCATCACCTCACCCCACCCTTCAAAATCCCTATTCGGGGTAAGTGGGGGAAATTTTGTATATTCCTATAAAGGAGGCCTTTTTTTTTATGGTTAAGATGCACTTTTGTAAAAATAGAAAATAATAGAAAAACAAAGCATGTACTGAGATACATTATTATATATTTCTTGTTTCATAAATATATTTGAAAAAATGTCCACATGTAGCCATATTAATATTCATTACATTTGACCTAAGCGTCAAAATTGAGTTGTCATTTTTATAAATATACTTTGCTGTTGTTATGCTTAACCTAATTTTAGTCAATGTAATTTGAGTTCACATAATAAGATACAGGGGGGTGATACACCTGTGCATGCATTTGTGTCTGTAGCATACATATGTAAAGTAAAACTTGATAAGAATGCCGAGTGACTTTGGAAAGGCAAGAGCATGCGTAACGTGCACTAGTGAAGAATTTCATTATTTATTCAGGTACACTAAGTGAAGCAACATGCCAACGTATTTGTCTTGCCTCCTTAATCTATTAAAATGATTGATCCATGTTTTTTTATGTAACTTTAGAATCTTTCTCCTGCTAGGTTTTCCTGTTGTGTGTTTCTCTTGATCCAAAGTAGTGCAGCTCTTATTTTTCCTATATTTAGCATCTATTACGAATTCAGTCTTAGACTAATAGTCAATTTATTTTAATCTTTCTTTCTTTTTTCCTTTCACTCTTTTTATTTTTCTTCCGATGCTTAAAATAGAAGTGGAGCAAAAAGGTAAATAACATACACAGTCTGAACCCCAGCTCCCTGTTATGTGCCTTATGGATGTTACCTTCTCCCTTCCCTTCCCCCACAACACTCCACATTAAAATAATCAGCAGGATCTCATAAATGCACCTCATACAGAAGTCGACTGTTTACCATGAGATTATATGACTGCTAAATCTGGCGATGGGACAAAAATTGTGAAGTTGGCGAGGGGGAGCTGTCCTTTCTCTGTTTCTTTATCTCTTTTTTCGGACACCCTTGGATATTTTATTGTTAAAGTGTCATCTTGCCTGGTCTCCAGAACCCTCTCCATAGCATGCCATGGTTACAGGGCCTCCTGGTCGCTTCATCACTGCTTTCCTCCTATTTACTTTTCTCGGCCCCTAATTGCATTTCCCGAATATTTGTTTCTTCGATTGAAGCTCCTTTGTTTTCAGTCTAACTTCTGTAAAAGTTCTAAATAAGCCTTCACATTGGGCTTTGTTTTTGTTCTATTTGCTTTATTTTGGTCTTTTGCTTTTGGGTTTTGGGGGGCTCCTAAGCGGGCCAGGGAGGGGAGGGTGCCAAGTTTGGACTAAAAGAAAGTACTTTGTACAGCGTTATGCACAAAGCTCAGAGTTTTAAAGCATAAATGACCAAATGATCTGATAAAAACACATAGCAAAAATGTAAATTCTCAGCTCAGTTATGAATGGTCTTAAACTTAGGTTTACATCTGTGGCAATAAACCCCAGCTACGCTGTGTGCTGGTACTTTGATTTTGGTAACTTGAGGAAAGAAGGGTAGTACGTGTATTAAGGATAAATTTTGGTAAAATAGAATGTTAATAAAATGAATTTTTTTCTCTTTTGATTTATGACCCTCAAGTTTTGTATTTACCGGTGTAATTTTTTTTTAACTGGGCTTAATTCTTGTCTTTTCTCTGTGACTGTTAGTTTTTGTGTGTCCTGGGACTTTGAAAGCAATTGTGGACTCACCATGCATATATGAAGCTGAACAAAAGGCAGGTGCTTGGTGCAAGGACCCTCTTCAGGCTGCAGATAAAATTTATTTCATGCCCTGGACTCCCTATCGTACCGATACTTTAATAGAATATGCTTCTATAGAAGATTTCCAAAACAGCCGCCAAACAACAACGTACAAACTTCCAAATCGAGTCGATGGTACTGGATTTGTGGTGTATGATGGTGCTGTCTTCTTTAACAAAGAAAGAACAAGGAATATTGTGAAGTTTGACTTGAGGACTAGAATTAAGAGTGGAGAGGCCATAATTAACTACGCCAACTACCACGACACCTCACCATATAGGTGGGGAGGAAAGACTGATATCGACCTAGCTGTCGATGAAAACGGCCTGTGGGTCATTTATGCCACTGAACAGAACAATGGAATGATAGTTATTAGCCAGCTGAACCCGTACACTCTGCGATTTGAAGCAACGTGGGAGACTGTGTACGACAAACGCGCCGCGTCGAATGCTTTTATGATCTGCGGAGTCCTCTACGTGGTCAGGTCAGTCTATCAAGACAATGAGAGCGAGACGGGCAAGAACGCCATCGACTACATTTACAACACCCGCTTAAACCGGGGCGAGTATGTGGACGTGCCCTTCCCCAACCAGTACCAGTATATTGCTGCAGTGGATTACAATCCCAGAGATAACCAGCTCTACGTGTGGAACAACAACTTCATTTTACGATACTCTCTGGAGTTCGGCCCACCTGACCCTGCCCAAGGTAAGAGCGTTTGCTTGCTAATGTGTCTTTTGTGAACAGCGTACTTATAAATAACTTAATTTTTTTTCCTTCCCCTTTTCATAAATCACAAAGGATAATGTTGTAACATTGCATGTTGCTGCGTAGTGTGTACAATTTAGCTTTATTTTAGTTCATTTTTCTTTTTTTTTTTTATGAATTTCTTCACTGAAATGGTGGCTTCAGAAAATGGTAGCATCTTTGGTCACTGCAAAAAATATAATACCAGCTACAAACAAACCTGTTAGCTTTTTTTGTTTTTTGCTTTTCTATCTGATTTCTAAATTGATTATAATCTGTGTGCAGACCTTTTAACTTCTTGGCGCCAGTGGGTAAGGGAAATGTGTTAGGAAGTCCCCGGAGGGTTGCTGGGCCTGACGCACAACGCCGGGTGTGAGGAAGTGCTTTGAAGTCTTGGCGTCCGTGCTCTGTGCAGGCGAGGGAGTCCTCCAGTGTCTTCCTAGATCATCATGTAAAATTACACATTTTTATTTCCTGATAAATTAGTAATGGTTTTAAGTCAGTATTTCTCTGACTTTTAACTGTCACACGTGGACAAAACATTAAATGATTTCAAGTGATGATTTATGAAGATGTATCTGCTAGCATTTTTGTGTGTGCTCTCTTCAAGTAACTTTATGGAGGACCATTACTTCAGGAAGTAATGCTAAATCTTTGGAAATGCACTTTAGATTGTCAAGTGAATTTAATTCTGTGGGAAACAATTTTTGAGGTCAAATTAAATGAATATTTTATTAAAACAAGATTACCTCATACTCATGTTAAAAGAATAGCCTCTTAGAGAGCTTGCACTGATTATGAGTTTTCTCTTTGAACAATATTTGTGTATTAAAGTTCTGAATTAACGTTTCAGTTTACTGAGTTAATTGGAATTCTCACATAATTGAATAACTTCAAAATTTTAAGGAACCAGCATGTTCTTTGGAGTGATTAAATCAAACTCTTCCACAAGGTGGAACAGAAATTAATATTTTTTATTCTCTTAAAGCAGTACACATCCACACACTTAGACATAACTACATGTACCCACACATATTTTAGGATATACTGTTACTAAGTTCTAAATATTGTTATGGGATCAGAACCTCAAAAGCAGAAGTCATAGCCTTTTGTAATTGAATTTTTTGTTGTTGTCTTAGATATTTTTTATTATGATATTCTAATACACACATCATTGGACACAGATTTCTTATGCTTACAAAGCCGATGCTATTCAAAATATCAATATGATTCATGATGTACAGTGGATGGTGTTTTGCTAAAGGCCCAGTTCTTGACTCATAGTAGAAACACCAACTTGAGATCTAGTTCTACATTTAATTTGTATTTTTAACTTCAGCGGTGCTGGTTCAGAGACTTTCTGTACATGCAAGTGAGTTGTAGGAAAAAGATTAATAACTTCAAGACGTTGTTAGTTTAGGAAAGTCAGAACTCCTATTAAATCTAAGATTTGCTGAGAACCAGGTTTTCAAATATCAGTTTGAATGAGGCATCAGTTAATTGTGTGGAGGTGTCTTTTGTACTAGAATGTAAGATTCGCATCACAGTGCATTGAAATCTGCATCAAATGGCTGTCTGATTCAATGACTGTTGGGATTGGGACTAGAAATATTCTTTATAGGTTATTTGCTATCATACGGTAACAGACTGGTGCAAATAGTTATATACAAAGTCAGGGGCCACCCAACACATTAACTCATGTTATAAATGAAATATAGACTATTATGGCAAAGCACTATGTGCCTGTATTACTATGTGCCTTGTGATGTCTCAATTCCTCCACCAGTGTTTTTATTTATTTTGTAGTTGAATTTGAGTCATAGAACACTAAAATATGTGACGCAATTTTTGTTTATAAGATCAGTAATGACACTGACTTAGTGCAAGGCCCCTTTTTCTTTAATTCATGTATGTCTAGAACTTTTTGTTTTAAAATTGTAGTAGTAATGTCCTATTGTTACATTTTCTTCAATTAAATCGTCTTTTAGGGCATAAATATCGTTATTGATAGTATCTCAGAATTGTTTATTTTTAAATTTAGACACCATTTTTCTCTTGAGGCCAGCAATTTGGGATGTTTTCTATATCTCATTTTTTCCCCTAAAAGCTAGGACCATGTTTCTCCTTTATCCTATAGTTTTATAAAAGGCACATGTCAGGACCTGACACAATTTTAACATTGTATTGACACTTGTGGTAACCTTTTTTGTAACCTGTATTACCTGCACAGCTGTTCCATTTGTTTTGGGTGGTATTAAATCTCTTCTCTCCATTAGAAAAACAAGAACAAAAATAATTTTTAAAAATGTAAATTCACGATCAAGCAATACCTGAAGGGTTGTTCATAGAGAATCATTGCCCCTCTACTTGTCACAAAAGTACTCAGTGAATACAAGATGAGTAATGTCATTTTCCATATGTGGCTTATATTCTAGTAAATACTTTGATCCATTTCAGATGAAAAAGTCTATGATAATTTAGATGCTTTTTGGAAAGAGCAGTTACCAGCTTTGAAAATGAGAAACTTAGATCTGGTAACTGTGTTGCTACAATTGTGTTTTATTATCCAAAAGAGCCATTCTTATATATTCCCAGAAAGTGAAAATTCACATCGGCCCTTTATAAAAAACTCTTAGTGGACAAAAGTTTTATCTGACCTGAATTTTTCTCGTGGCTGTTTGACTCATAGTTTCTTAGTCTCTTTCCTTATAATTTATCTTCATAGGCTTTTAGAGAGACCCCAGTCTCTCTCATCCAAGATGCCTGCTCATAGCTGGGCGGGGCCTTGCAGAGCTGCTCTGGCCCATAAATTTAGGTCAGACCAATAAGCCACTGTCAGCTTTCCAGAAGCCAGATCTGAGAAGCTGATGGGACCGAGCAATTAGAGATCAGGTCTTTGCCTTTCGTACACAGCGGTGATTGACTGGTTTGGCGGAAATTCAGTCTCATGTACTGGATTTGCTACGGTGTGTGTCAGCGAGGCGTACATTGTGCTGTGAAATTATTCATTCCGTTCATTTTTCGTTGTGCACTGCTTCGTAGTGTATTAGCTTCAGTACTTTTTCCATTTATAAACCTAGGCCTTTTTGTTTCTCACAGCACAAATGTGTTATTTCATTGCCTTGGTCCTGGGTTTTAAATAAATCTTTCTCTTTTTTTTGGTTTTTTGTTTTGTTGTTGAGTTTTAGCTTTTTGTGATCTCTGCTCAGTTCATGTGCTGCGTTGACCTAACCTAGGTCTGGTTCTCCTTTCACCCTCTTTCTCCCTAAAGTGGGCTTAGGAAAAACCCATTTTGGTCTTATTCTAACTCTTTTCTCTTTCTTAATCTGAATCGCTTTGCTTAATATTTGCATAATCTGCCTGCAAATTTGATATCCCAAATGTTATCAAAAAAATATTGTGTCTTGGGTTTTGACAGCTCCTGAATAATTGCTCTAATTACGAAGTACAACACTTCAGTAATACGAGGGAATATTTTTATCAAGAGAGTTGGGTTTATTTTTTTTTAGGAAGCATTTAGCATAGAATACACATTTCTTGAAACATCTTCCCACCGCTCTCCACAAAAGATGGCTAGTATTTTTAAACATGAAATAAGGATAACTTTAATGAAGACACAGTTTTTCCTCACCAGCTGCCACTCTAGCTGGAGTTTGCTCGGTGAATCACGGGTTAATTCTTAGGCCCGGATGATGGAAATGCTACCCTTAGCATAAATGGATATTGTCCTTAAATCTTTTCATTCGGGAAAAAGCTGGTTATAAATAGCAAGGCCTTAGTAGACACTGCCGTAGTGAATCGAACCATTCCGTATGTGTTTGTCACAATCTTCATGGCTTCCTGTTAAATATGTTTATTAGCATTTTATTTGCACCGTTTCTAGATCTCTATATTCAGATGATAACAGTAGGCACAATACTAAATCAGTTAATCTAGAAGAGATGCTTGATATGGCTTCCTGATAACTGGGGTAAAGCTCTGCAGAGTAGGGTTTGCATTGGAAATACAATTCTATTGTGAGTTGCCTTGTTTTCTGTTATCATTTGTAGGATATTCTAGAGTTTTGAACCTCTTGCCACTTACATTTCAGTATGAAACTTTATAGTTTATTGCCTCCAGTATCTTATGCTATCCTCCCAACATCTTTTCTTCTTTTAGAGATTTACACAGAACAGTGTCAGGTTAATGCTCCAGAATAAGGGCAGATGCCATCCTCTTCCAGGGTCTGAAAGTCCTTTATCTAGAAAAGTACAATCATAGCATTAAGAGGATAGGCAAATAACCTTGAACAAATTGCTTAACCTTCTCTATGGCTCAGTTTCCTCATCTTTAAAGGGAATACAATCATAGTCTTATTTCCTGGGGGTTGTGGTGTGGATGGATTAAGTGATCTGATAGATCCTTGAATGCTGATTAGCATAGGGCCTGGTACATAAATGCTGAGTAAGTGTAAACTTTTATCATTATCTGATGTCCTGTCTTCACCTCCGGAAGGAAATATTAATCTTTAAAAATACCTCAGCATTTCTGACTTCAACCTTACCAAAAAATTGCTTTCCTTGAAGTTGCTAAACTTCATCCTTGCAAAATCCCAGGAATTCTAGCTGACCTCCAAAAAGGCTGAATTTTTCCACCTAGAGTTTTCTTTCATGTTTATTTTCACAATGTCCCAATATTTCAGTGATTTGCCTTTGAAAATGTGTTGATTCCCTTTGAACTTCTTTTGATGAACAAAAGGTGAAAAGGTATGAAAATGGTCAGAAAAACACATGGAAACAGGCTATAGAATGTTGCATGAAATTGTATACATTTCACAGAGGTCATTTTATTACCTCCCTTCACTCAGTTATTATGAATCTTAACAGATCACTACTTGCAGTATTGTTAATACGTATTTCAGAGATTAAATGGGTCCTCCTTGGTGCGGTGTCGAGGGATACAGGAGATAGGATAGCACGAAACCACTTTGCTCTGCCCTGTTCTCTTTTTACTCCGATTCTCCACTCCCCTTGAAAATTGGATTCAGCAGCAGTCATTTGACACGTCTGCAAAAGACTGTGATGCTTTTGACAAATGTTAATTGAGAAAGCACTGAAAGCCTGGCTGCATTGTAATCAAAAGAAAATTACAGAGGTTTAACAAGATGTCAGGCAAGTGCTTTGCAGGAAAAGATAGACGGGTTTGAATAGGTTTCTGCAGCAGCTGGCTGGGCATGATGTTTGACTTATGTACACAGGCATCTCTCATATGGTCAATAAATTATGCCCTGGAAATAAAACATATGTTTAAGAAGTTTCTCTTGCTATAGAAGGAAAAAAAGGTGTAGAAAGTATGTAGTGCACTTATTGATAACAAGAAGTTTGTCACTACTAGAAACAAGTTTTTCTGATAAACTTAGCATGCTCTGCCAATAGTGTCAGAATTGTATAAACAGCTACAGGGTGTCCCCCCAAAGTGTACACACACTTTAGCAGCTGATAGCTCAGTTTTGAAAGTGAAATGTATTTTAATAAACACTGCCTTTGTAATTATTCAAAGTGTGTGTATACATTTTGGGGGGACGCCCTATATTTATGGACCAGAGCTTAAAATACTCAATGTAGTAATAACAGAAACTTGTTTTCTAACAAGTGTTAGTGTTCTGATTTGTGTCTTCTAAAGCATAAAGTAAGTTAATTTTTTATAAGGTTATTTGAAAAAAATAGTTATTTTTAATTTGCTGTACTCTTAACAGTTTAAATTTAAGGCATCATATATATAAGTGGTTAAGAGCCAGTAACTATAAATATTGATAAAACTTCAGTGTGATCACCTAATAGATTTCAAGTAATAGTATTAAAGTTTTTCTGACATACTTTTTGTTGTTGTTTAACCTAATTAAATGGTATTTAATGAAGGAAACATAAGCTCCATTAATTTTTTAACCTATTGGATTTAACAGTTTGAGAGCAATGTTGGAAGTCAAAAAATAACCTTTTAAAAACGTCTTTGTAAATTTGTCCTTTTAAGTGCGTCGTCGTAGTTCCTTCTGTAGCCTCTGAAGGGTCAGTGAGATACAGTGGAATGCAGTGACGTATGGTTGTGAATCAGGCATGATTTGAAGTAACCCGTTATCTTGATAAGAGATTGCATTATAACCTGCTCCCAGAACTAGTAGCTTTTTCATACCTGCGTTTTCAAAAGTAAAGAATCTGAAGCCTCGGATGTTTCCTCAGTGAAACAGCACGCGCACGCCAAATGTATCTTCTGTTTGGATCTAATCAGGCGTGCTCCAAAACCTCTCAAGCAAGAATGGCTGCCGGGTAGAAAGATGTCACAGTATTTATATTCCTGCAAGATGTGGAGTGGGTGACTTTAAATTTTCTATTGTCCTAATTATATGTAATCGTCAGACTTTTGTTGATACTTGGAAGTTGATTGCTTATAGAATATGAATTTATACAAGAAGCTAATTTTTGTAAGTCGTTTCGTAGTGACATAATGTATTTGGTTTGTATATTGAAACTTTATGTAAAGCTGTCCGTTTCCTGTTAGTTGATATATGGTGAAATTATACTTAAACTGTATTTTCAAATATTTCATTGAGAAGTAAACCTAACACAATTGGAGTCATACAGTAAAACCTATAGTAAAGCCTAAACTGTCTTCGCTTAGCCAACAATAGGAATAAATTGGAATCATTGAAGAGGTTTATTTTTCCTCCCGAGTACTGATGTTCTCAGGACTGCTCATGTTGTTGGCTTTGGGGTAGTTGGATGGGTGGGCTTTTGCATGTGCGTGCACGTGTGTGAATGGGAGTGTGTGTTTGAGATTAACACACTGATCTTTTTTCCCTAGTGCCTACCACAGCTGTGACAATAACTTCTTCAGCTGAGCTGTTCAAAACCACAGTATCAACCACAAGCACTACTTCACAGAAAGGCCCCATGAGCACAACTGTAGCTGGATCACAGGAAGGAAGCAAAGGGACCAAACCACCTCCAGCAGTTTCTACAACCAAAATTCCTCCTGTAACAAATATTTTTCCCCTGCCAGAGAGATTCTGCGAAGCATTAGAATCGAGGGGGATATGGTGGCCTCAGACACACAGGGGAGTGATGGTTGAACGGCCATGTCCCAAGGGAACAAGAGGTATTTCTTGTAAAATACTATGTATACATTTTAAATCTTACTTTGGGTAGATTCTGAATGACACCGAAGTGATTTTACTTGAGGAAGGAGATATTCACAGTAGCAAACTTCATTATTCTAGTTACTTCAGTAACGTGGCATCTGTCGTTTTTAAACTGTAAAAATCACTTAAGGTCAGGTCCTGAATTACCTCTCCTTCTTCAAGTCCTAGGTCAAGCCTGACATTTTTTGCCCATGGACACTAGTGAGCCTTCCTTACAGCTGTCTCTTTCTCATCACAAGTATCATTTTGGATGAGTCCCAAGAAAATCAAGGGCTTTTTGTTGTTTGTTGTAAATGTCTGATATTTCTATGCTGACTTTATAATTACTGTTTATAGTCTGCATTTTACCCTACTTTTTTGTCAGTTATTGTCAACTGCTTCCATGAGCGTTTATTCAAAGTTTAGCACGCAGGGCAGGCTCATCCGAGCCGATTTCCCAAATGCGTGCAGAAAAATGGTTTCAATTTCACTGTTGTTTTGTACATCTGTTGCAGGAACGGCCTCGTATCTCTGCATGGCTTCCACTGGAACATGGAACCCTAAGGGCCCCGATCTCAGCAACTGCACCTCACACTGGGTGAATCAGCTGGCTCAGAAGGTTGGTTTGAACCTTTTAATATGATACACATTGGTGATTGAGGGCTTTAACTTCTAACATAAATGATTTAGCTTTGTACGTTAAAACCAGCTTCATTTCTCTTTGTTCGGTATAAAAGTAAAAAAATTATGCATAGTTTTGTCTGTAAACTATTTATTCAAAGTTACATATGTTTTGGGGCATGCTGTTTTCTTTGGTAAGCTTTTTAATGAGTACATACTTGCTTAATTTCAATCATATTTAGTTAGTTCTGTTTCTTTTGATGTTTGTAAGACAAATAGTGCATTGGACTAATAAATCAAATATCATTATGTTTGCAACTGAATCCACAGACTGCAAGCAGATGTTTATATCACAGATGATTATGATAGAATAAATATTTACAGTAGACTGTAAGTAAAATTATTTGATATTATAACGGAAGACAGTGACATTTTAGTTTCTCCTTTCCCATCTACCTTTCTGAAGTGCAAATGTAGATGGTAACCCTTAGTGTCATACTGACTTTATTCTGATTTCAATTTCTGGACCATGGGATTAAATAAATAAGATTTTAAAATAGCAGTTGAAAATGGTGACAGTGAAATGAGAGTGCGGCCTGAAAACTTTTACAAAGGATTTCTGGTTTTCTTTTTTCTTCCCTTTTGTTTCTTTTAAATGTCTGGTTAAGAATTTATTTTGCATGTTGAGGATGTAAGAACCTTTAATCATCTGCAATGAAGAGAAAGTTACTGGTTTCAATTAGTTGCAGATTTTGACACATTTGCAAATACATTTTTCACCACAACAAAGATTCCCAGAAGGAGAGAAGCCACAAACAGAACGAGAAATCTTACTGAGATCATGTAAATTGGCATTTCAGATCAGAAGTGGAGAAAATGCTGCTAGTCTTGCCAATGAGCTGGCTAAACATACCAAAGGGCCGGTGTTTGCTGGGGATGTGAGTTCTTCAGTGAGGCTGATGGAGCAGTTGGTGGACATTCTGGATGCACAGCTGCAGGAGCTGAAACCGAGTGAAAAAGATTCAGCTGGACGGAGTTATAACAAGGTAAGTAGGCATTTTCTGTTATATTCAATTAGATATTTTGTATGGCAGCCCTGGATTCTAATAGCAGTTGACTGCCAAACTTCTGACCCCTTTGACATACACTTAGAAACAAAACTTCTAATTTGGTTCATGTCCCAAGAAAGAATTACAGTTGAGAAAGGAGCAGTGTGGCTTTAACAACAACACAATGTGGCTTTAACAACAACAAAATTAACTACCTGAGGGTGATCTTCGTTGTTGGCAAACGACTGCCTGCGTATGGTCAGTCTCGCTTTAGAATGACTTACATGCTCTTGGGGAGACTCTGTGTAGAGACTGTGTTGTGTAACATACATACTTTGTATATACGCTTAGGGTTGCAACACCGTTGTGACACCTGTAAGAATGTTAGCCACTGAAAAAAAACCTGTTTTTAATGGCAGGTTTTGGAAGATGGACAAGTTTCCCCCTCTAGGAATATAGTGTATCAGTGCTATTAATTTTTCATACTGTGACAAAAATTTAATAGTTATTTTAACCATATATAAAATAAGCGTTTAGATGAGATTCACACAAATCCACAATTTGTGGCTAGTATGGTTTTAGAGGGTGAAAAAAGTAGGCAGCCTCCTGCCCCCTTTTTGACCACATATTTTGTCTCTAGTTTTATCAAGATCCTTTGGATTAGTGTACTTTGTAACATACAGCTAAAAACTGGAAATGCACAATTTTCGCAGTCGTGCAGACCCACGAAACCCAGAAGACTACGGTACCTAATACATTCTGATCGGGAGTACCAGCTAAATTTTTGAGGATTTCTTCTTTCCTCATTTTCAACAGATAAAATCTAACCTTTGATTTTCTTTTCTTTTACTAAAAAGCTCCAAAAACGAGAGAAGACATGCAGGGCTTACCTTAAGGTATCTCTCCTGTGCCGTCACCCTGCTTTCTCCCCTCCTCGGCTACCTGCCACGCTTTATCATTTGCTGCATGATCCAATGTGTTTCAGTCTTTGATAATTATATAATGTGCCCCATATCAGCTGTACAAATGTTGGCTTTTCACAGGTATATTGCTCTCAGAATAAGCAAATAATTTATTTTTGTAATTTTTGCTGTTTTTTTCCATTCATCCAAATGTACAAGAATTTTAATGAAATATCCTCTGAATTGGAAACTAATCATATAGTCTCCTTGTTTCCTGTTGTCATCTCTGTGGATTGAAAAATAACTTGAGTATCAACACAGCTATGATATATTCTTGGCAGTTTATCATATCAAAGACTGTATAGTCCTAATGTATGTGCATGAAAAAGTCACTGCTTTCTTATCTGTGGCATACTCTTAAATAAGGTAGGCTTTGTCCTGAAAATTTTCGGGGTCATTTTTAGAATCAGGTCGATGTTGGGAAGAGTTACTAGAAATGAAATATAAAAAAATGTGACAGTGCTATCAATATGTGTTATATATTGGTTTTTATCAGGCTGATAGGAACAGAAAGCCGCTATTAGGCTGAGAAGCCTTGTCTGTTCCAGCCAGTTTTTCTCCCAGGTATATCCAAGTAATAGGAAACGTGCTGGGTGAGGCTAACAGTAGTTATGCCATGCTAATGCTGTGGACCACATTGCAATTTTGTTTCATTCTGAATTCTAAATGTTTTTTTGGGGGGGGGGATAATTACTTTCTGATCTTGCTCATCTAGGGACCGTATCACTAGTAAATCAAACCTTAACTGATTCTTATACATGTAACAACAAAACAAGATAAGTTTCCAGTTTTGTAGAACAGAGGCTATTCAAAAGCGATGGCTTCACCAGTATTGTTGGCAAGGTCTGGAGAAAAGAGAATGGCCTCTCACTAGTTACTGAGAAACATTGTAGGATCTCAGAGCTTTACAAGAAAAGGTGGTGGGAGAGTCTGTTTTTAGGTAGCAATATTCTGAAAATCCGTTTTTTACTTTTTAAAAAAATACATTTTTATTGATTTTAGAGAGAGGAAAGGAGAGGAGGAGAGAGAAAGATCGATGAGAGAGAGTCACTGAGCGGCCTCCTGTACACCCTCTACTGGGGATGGAGCCCCAAACCTGGGAACGTGCCCCCAACAGGAATCAAACTGTGACCTCCTGGTGCATGGGACAATGCCCAACCAACTGAGCCACCCTGGCCACGGCCCGTTTTAGCCTCCTTAATGGGGGCAGAGAAATAACTGTTAAAGAGCATAGAATTTGTCATGCTGAAATTTCAGTTCACCTTAAACGTATCCTTAATGTGTGAAATGTCATAATTGGTATGTTGCCCAGGACAAATGTCTCAGTGGAAAAAGAATAGCTTTTTTTTTCTGTGGCAAGGAGAGACTACTCCAGGGAGAGGATTAGGCTAATGATCATTTTGATTCCAGGAGAAAAGTACTGATGATAATAGGTAAGGAGTATTTCAGATTAATAAAGCTACGCCATCAGTGAGTTATGTGTATACATAGTAAATGTCACTATGGCCTTAATTTCTGACCAGTGTCATTTCCAGCATGTCACAGATGAGTTTCTCTGTTCAGATAAGACTAATAAAACTCCTAAAATTACCAATCAGAAGCTGATTTAAACTATGCAAATGAAGCGGTTTCTTGCTTTGTGACAGAGGATTCATTTGTAACTTAGATTAGAGGCTCTAGTCTGTATTTCTCGGTGACTAATGAATCTGGCCTCAGCAGACCAATTTCTGTTCCACTCTAGTTAATGGCTGCAGCAGTATCAGTGTGAGCATTTTGAGTATTCTATCTCCCAATAGAGAAAGAAAAAAGCCTTTAATGCCCCTTGGAAGTATCTTCACCTGCCAGGAAGGTCGTGGTGGCTCACAAGGCAGACAGAACAAGGATATTAAGATGGATTAAGCTAATTAATCTTACTCTGACAGTAGCCTCGGACAACTTTTCCCCCTGCTCATTTTAATATAATCTCTCAAATTAGCAATTTTTGTTGTCCTTTGTACAATGTATGTTCTTTTTGCATCTGTGATTACCAGTAGATCAGGACAGTTTACATTTGGCCTTCATGACACATTACGACTAGGTAAATGGGATAGAATAAATAAATCTAGTGATTTCAGTTGTCCAAGCCATAGTTAGTAAACAGCTACAGTAAATCAGTACAAAAACCTGCCTGAATCAGTTGCTTAGCTGACGGGGTTATATTTTTATTTAATGTTATTTTGCGTAATAATAAAATAAGTCTACATCCGTGAATCTTTACAACTTGGGTGTTTATGAAGACTTTATTCTGCCTTCCTGTTTCCATTACATTATTAGTATAGGCTTTAAATATTTTGATTGCTTTATTGATTCCTTTAAAAACAGATCACTGTTTATGAATTAAGGTATACTCAAGAATTTTTTAGCTGGACAGGGAATTGGAAGAGTGAAAATGTTCACAGATAATTTACAGACTTTGAAATCCCCCCTCCCCCATGGTAATTAATAGACAACGTTATAAGGCACAATTTTGGTTATTAAATTTTGGTTCACATTCCAAAAAACAATGTCTTACTTTTCAAGCATAACTCTTAGGCTACTCCAGAGGCATCAGTGTTTTCTATTTAGAACATTCAAGTTTTGAGATTATAACTAGGAGTGACTGTGCATGTAAGAATAATACCTCAGGTTAAGAGCTGTCGCTGGTTGTCTATCTTTTCAACAGCTGAGATGATTAGATAAACGAAAAAGCCATCTTTTTACACTTACTCTTTATAATCAAATAGTAGCCTACTAATCCTCAATTAATCCTGTTTTGCAATAGTAAGATATGTTATAAGTTGACCAGATATATGTTGTCAAGGTGTTCTTCCATCTTGAAATAAGAGTAAATCATCATGACAGATAAATATTACAATTGTCACTAGTCAGTGATTGAAAATCACCTTGGTACTAGAAGTAGTCAGAACTAATGATGGTTTCCTAATGGATGCAGGCAATTGTTGACACAGTGGACAACCTTCTGAAACCTGAAGCTCTGGAATCCTGGAAGCACATGAATTCTTCGGAGCAAGCACACACTGCAACAATGTTACTGGATACCTTGGAAGAAGGAGCTTTTGTCCTGGCTGACAATCTGGTAGAACCAACCAGAGTCTCAATGCCCACAGAAAATATTGGTAAGTGAATCTGTTGTCAGGTTTTAATTTTGATTTAGAAGACAGATGTTTAAGAGAATGATGTTTCCATTCTGAATCCAATGAGTTATTTCTCAGGGCCAGACTTCTCTTTTGTTGAATTATTTTTGTCTGCTAACAAGAGACATTATTGATCACATTTCATAAAATTAATGCAAAAGCCAAAATTTTTCTTATATCTTTTAAAGGTTGGTGTCATGTGGTGGTGGTGGTTTTTTTTAAAATTCCAACTGAAAAATCATTAAAGGAAAAATGTGTTAGAGTGCTTGAATGCCCGAATATGGATTGCTGAAGTAATGAAAGTGCTTGCTATGGAACTGTGTCAAATGCTTTTCCATTTCATATATTATGTTCCTAATGAATTTAAATAACTTTCTGGAATGTGTTCTCCCAGTCAAATATTTTAGGCAAACAGAATTTGAGGCAAATGTTTGTATTAAACACAACTACCTTCAGGTGAAAATGTGGTCAGTGAACTACATCTTCTGTAAAGCAGAATACCCATGCTTCATAGATTGCAAAATAGCTGCCGAAAGTTTTGAAGCATGATTTAGAATTAAAGGGCTAGCCACAAGAGTCAAGAATTAACTTGTGATGATATTTGAAAGAAGTACAGTAAAATTATATTAATTTAGGCTTGACTGATTTAAAACTGTCAGTTATTCAGCTCAGCGAGTTTGAGCTTAGATGAAGTTTTGTAGTGCCCCTTAGTAAATGAAGTTAAAAAGTTTCCCAAGCGTAAATGTAAAAAAACCCCATAGACTAGCCTTTCACCAAAAGAGTATATATCTGGAACAGCAGATAATGAACAGAGTCTTGCTATCTGGGATGCCATATCTCATTACCTAATTGTGTCAGCTTAAATCATGGGACTTTATATTAAAAAATGCTGAAAAGTAAGGTATTTAGAAGAGAGAGACATTAACCAGATTATGATACTTGGATTTAACTCAAAACTTTATTTAAATAAATGAATTTCTAGAAAGAAAGAAAGTATTTTTAAAATCCTGTTTTTATTTACTGTGAGGTTTTAGGATACATAACTCAATAACTTCAAATTCAGTGAAGTCCAAGTAATTTGGCCAGTCCTGATCTGGGAGACCAGTCACAAGGAAAGTGGGACTCTACCTTAGCCTTAGTAGTAATACAGAATGAATAAAGCTCTCCCCTTCTGTCTAAAGCTTTTATTATTTTTGAGGTTAATTTGTTTATTAGTATAATGAAATTCCTAAGATATACCTTAAACAAGTCTTCTCAAGTGTTCCCAGTGATGTACCTGTAGCCTTAGTAGTAATACAGAATGAATAAAGCTCTCCCCTTCTGTCTACAGCTTTTATTATTTTTGAGATTAATTTGTTTATTAGTATAATGAAATTCCTAAGATATACCTTAAACAAGTCTTCTCAAGTGTTCCCAGTGATGTACCTGTAAGGATAAAGGAGTGTAGACAAAGATGAGTCATGGAAAGTGTTATCTCAAGTGGCATGTTACGGCCTCAGTTTGTTTGCTAAGTCTTCTAAGGACTGTTTTGAAAACAAACAAAAATCCCTCAAACTGAAATTTCCCTCTTATGCTTCTCCCAAGTGTGCCAGAAAATTTGACAGGCCAGGTTGATAGTCTGTGCTCCCATTAGCTTTGCATAATGCAGAACAACTCTGAGGATATGTCTGAGATATTTTATCTCCGTTTGAGACATAGTCTGAAAATTTAAATGTCCAGGAATATATTTTTCCTAATATATTTTCTGTGTTTTCAGAGCCCTAAGGGATTATTCTTCATACTGTTTTTTTGTGTGTGTGTTTTTAAATTTTTAATTTAAAGAACATTATGGGTGGGAATTCCTATAGGATGTAGTACACATTTTTTTTTTTTTTAAATATATCTTTATTGATTTCAGAGAGAGGAAGAGAGAGGGAGAGAGAGAGATAGAAACATCAATGATGAGAGAGTCATTGATCAGCTGCAGCCTGCAACCAGGCATGTGCCTTGACCGGGAATCAAACCCTGATCGCCCGGATCCTAGGTTGATGCTCAACCGCTGAGCCACGCCCGGCCGAGCTGTAGTACACATTTTTGACTTCTCAAAAATAATGCCCTGAACCATATGCATATATGGATTACCCAAGAATTATTACTGTCAAAGTCATTTTACATATTTTAATATAGTTACGTCTTTTTATTTCTAAGGTATGAACAGTCTTGCGACAAATATTATACATGATTTAGTATGAGGATTACATTCAACTTTTCCTGAGGACTTATTCCCGTTTTAGATGGAGGAATAAGATGGCCCATTATCTTTTTATGTCTTCACTCTCTGGATTCTCTTTTCTGTATTTAGAATATGGTTGCAGTGTCTTTGGTTATTAAGACAGTTTGATTTTTCTCCTTAGTGATTTCTCCTTGAACCCTTAATTTACTTTATTGTATGGTTTACCCTTATGTATAACCTCATAAAAATAGTATAATTATATCTGCTGTAACTGTATCTGATATGGCTTTTAAATATCAACTTTGAGATATAACTTATATACAATAAGAACAGTTGTAAGTGTACAGTTTGATGAGTTTTGACAAATGTACACCCATATACCCAACAGCATGGTCAGCATTTCTGTCATCTCAAAAGGGTTCGTTATACTCTTTTGCAGTCAGTCTTCTTGTACTCCTAGCTCCAGGCAACCACTGATCTGTTTTCTGTCACTGTAGTTTAGTTTTGCTTTTTCTAGAACTTCCGTTGAGTGGAACCATATCACATATACTCTTTTTTGACCTTGCTTCTTTTATGCAGAAATAATGTTTTTGAGATTCATCCATGCTGGTGCGAGCATCCGTAGTCCACTCCTTTTCATTGCTGAGTAGTATTCCATCTTAAGGACATACCACTATTTGTACACTTACTCACTTGTTAGACATTTAAGTTATTTCTACTCTGACTGTTACTATTAAAGCTGCTCTTTTCCCAAGTCATTGTACCATTTTATACCCTTAGCAGCAATGAGAGTTCCAGTTGCTCCACATTCTTACAAACATTTAAGGTTATCTTCTCAAATGTCTTTTTAATTTTAGCCTAGTGGTTTGTAGTGGCATCTCATTTTGGTCTTATTTTGTCCTTGTATGGCTGCTAAGTTACATTTTGTTGATAATTGTTCTTTTCATCTGCTTATTGGCCTTTCATATATCTTTTTGTGAAGTGTCTGTTCATATATTTTGCCCATTTTTAATTGTCTTTTTTTGTTTTCAGTAATAAGTTATAAAGACTCTTTATATATTCTCAATACAAATCTTGTTGAGTATATGTGCTCTGCATGTTTTCCTCAGTATGTGACTTTAAAAATTTTTTTCTTAATGATATCTTGAGAGCAGCAGAAGTTTTAAATTCTGATAAAAAATTATTACCCAGCTTCAACATCTACCCTAATCCTGTTTCACTTATTCTTCTTGTTATTGTATTATTTTAAAGCAAATCCTAACATGTTATTATTACTGTAAATACTTTGGTAAATATCCTGTACTTTTTAAAAAAGAAAACACAATGTCATTGTCATACTTTAAAATGAACAAAAATAGCTTCAAAAGATAACAAACAGGTGCTTAAATGCACTTGATTTTTATAAATTTGTTAATATTTAATTACTTAATTTTTTAAACCAAATGCAAAGTTCATGTCCTACATTTGATTGATACATTGCTCGAGTCTCTTTTAATTAAAAGCCTACAGCTTATTTTTTAAAACCTTTTTCATTCTTGTTGAAGAACTTGAACAAATAATTTGTCTGTAGAATATCCCACATTCTGGATTTGGCATATTTCATCCTCATGTTACCATTTTACCATGATCGATATATACTGATAATTAGATCAGGAGGCTTGATCAGGTCAGGTGTAGGTTTTACGCACCCCTCCCCCCTAATAACTTTCTATTGCTTCCTATTCAAGAGGCACATGTTCGATTGTCTTTCTTTGTGAGCTTATGATTGATTAGGTGGTTCAGGATTATCAGCCTAATTCATCCATTATAAAATTCCCTATCATTTATTTTCCCAATGGGTTTAGCAGCCAGCATGATTGTATCTGTCGATTTAAGCTTGGTTACATTGCAGTAACAAAACCCCCAAAGTGACAGCAGCTCCCTACAAGAGAAGGTTTATACTTCGTCCTGCCGAGTCACCATTGGAGGCTTGGCTTTGGCTCTGCTCCATGTGGTTTTTACCCCGGGCCTCAGGTTGATGGAGCCTGCGATGTGGTGGGTCTCCTGGCTGAAGCCATAGTTTTCCCTGTGTGCTCCCTTCCTTACTTCCCCTCTCCTCTCATTGCAGCAGGTACTCTATGACGAATTTGAGAAAGGGGTCAGAGAATATATTAAAATCCTATCTACGGCATTGGTTGTCGATGAGGCTCTGCTCCTATGAATCACGTTTATTCAATTTCAGGGAATCCGTTGAACATGTATTATTTCAAGCACACAGAAATGGAGAATATTGTAAACATGTTCCAGTCACCCAGCTGAGCCTCATCTTAGTATTTTACCATATTCACTTCAGAACTGGGGAGAAAGAAATAGTTTTAGATAATGTGTTATAAATCCTCTGGGCCGCCTCTTTCCTGATCAGATCAAGAAGGGAGTAACCTGTCATCCTTAAATTACTTGTTAGCATTAGTAAGCTTTTTAAAAAAATATTTTTTTTGCTCTACTGGTAATGTACATTTAACAATTACTTTTTATGTTTTTAAAGTTAATGATTTCACATTACACATGTAATTGAATATTTTGTTTCTGCTATGATAATTTTCATATTTATGCATGTTGATACATGCATCTCTAGTTCATTCATCTGATCTAAGAAGACTTCACAGTTATTTGTGTGCCAGTGATAGATATTTTAGTGGCTTATGCTTTTTTGCTGATACTATAAGAAAACTACAGTGAAAGTTTTTATATGTCATCTTGTTCAAATGTATGTGTGCCTTCTAGACATACGCACACATATGCTTAGAAATAGAATTTTTGAGTGGTAGAGCATGCCACTCAAAAACACTAATAGGTAAATATTTGTTGAATGAAATGAACTCTTTGTACCTGTATATCCGTATTTGGAGCATTTCATGAAACTCAAAGGATTTCCTTTTTTCACCCTGTCTTCCATCCTGTTTTAAGAATGACGATTTAGAGTGCCTTTCCGTGAAAGAGACATATATTAGATGTGCATTTTTGTTACTCTTCTAATTCCCCTTTACCCCCTACCCACACATCTGATATGAGGAGAGCAGGTCATTCATCTGCCCACCAGCTTAATCTTTCTAAGCATAGGCCAATAAAATAAGTATTTCAGTAAGCTTCTGCAGCTCATTGAATTCTAGGAGTTATATGACTTTCATGATAAACTTGTATTTTAGTTGTTTGACATGTCTGATAGCATATAAAAATCTCCCAGGATTATGATTTCCTATTCACAGCTAAATTTATATGTATTTTACAAAACAAAGTTCTGAAAGATAAGAAATAAATAAATACCCAAGAGTTACTCTATAATGGTATAAGCTCATTTTTGTGAAAAGGAATAAAGGGAGTAAATTCATCATGTGTGTGTATGTGTGTACACATACATGTTTGTCTAAGTATAGAAATAGCTTTGCAAGGATTTACATCATTAGAGAGGGTGATATTCAGAGAAAATATATGGACTGTATTTATTGAATTAGTTAGAGTATGTGTTGCCCTTGCTCGGCAAACTTTTACTGTGAAAACCCAAATAGTATATATTTCAGGCTTTCCAGGCCATGAGGTCTAAGTTACAAATATTTAACTGGCATTGCAGTACCAAAGCAGCCATAAGACAATATGTAAATAAGTAAGCATGGCTGTGTTCCAATAAGACTTCTATTTCCAAAAGCAGGTGGCAGGCCAGATTCGGCACATGGGGCCTATTTTGCCCAACTTAAATATGTAAAGATTAATGGTTACTAGTGAGAATTAATGGGGAATTTTAATATCTTGCCAGCCATTTTCTCCTAAGTAAGCTTTGCTGGTCTTACTACATTTAGAAATTGGAGGAAAATATATTATTGCAAAACTGACCTGTGTAGTCTTATGTATTAAAATGTGTCTTAAACATATAAATAGATGTATACATGCAATAAAGACATTCAGATTTATACTTCATAGTTTTCCCATTGACATGTAAATACCCATGGAAAAGTTGTTTAACATAAAGAGCCAAAAATACCATTTTGAAATGTTTTGAATAATTTAAATGAAACTTTGAAATTTTTATGTTATGAATTCATACACTGTTCATATTCATAGGCTAAAAGTCTGGAATTAGTTCATGACCAAAAATATAAAACTATAAAGAAAATGTTTACACAGAAACGTATGTAATATGTGAAAATGATTATAGGAAATTTTTTTAGAATAGTCAAGGCTTAAGAACTTCTTAGAGTAATTTATTTCATATTTTGTTGAACCCTAACAGTAAAGTTTTGTAAGTAGATAAAAAGAAACTGTTTTTTGTGCAATTATCATCTGCTCTTTGTAGTTTAAACAATGCTCTCCTATTCCTCCTTCTTTATTTCTTTGCCTCATCCAGTTCTGGAAGTTGCAGTACTCAGTACAGAAGGACAGGTCCAAGACTTCAAATTTCCTCTGGGCATCAAAGGAGCAGGCAGCTCAATCCAGCTCTCTGCAAACACTGTCAAACAGAACAGCAGGAATGGTAAGACAGAACCGTCTTCTAAATCCCGTGGACAGGTTTTTTTTGTTCAGTTATACCTTTTCGTACTAAAATGCTGAGTATTTGACTCCTTATATAACAAATACCCCCTAACATTTAAAAGCAGGTTTAAAATAATGCTTTACTGTTTCCCAGTGAACTCAATCTAAATAAAGATTCCATAAGGACTTTTTCATTTTATTCTTTAATATAATTTTTTTTTTTTTTTTAATAGTAGTAAACACAGTACCTGTAAAGTCATGAGACTGTTTGTATTTTTCTAGGACTTGCAAAGTTGGTGTTCATCATTTACCGGAGCCTGGGACAGTTCCTCAGTACAGAAAACGCAACCATAAAACTGGGTGCTGACTTTATTGGTCGTAATAGCACCATTGCGGTGAATTCCCACGTCATTTCAGTTTCAATCAATAAAGAATCCAGCCGAGTATACTTGACAGATCCTGTGCTTTTCACCCTGCCACACATTGATGTAAGTTATGTATGTTAGTGAAGTAGTGGGAGGTTATAAAACCAGCGAGGAAGGAAGGCAAAGCTGACATGCTGGACATGGGGAGAGGGGGAATGGGGAGATGGCAGAGAGGAAGGAAGGATCTTTTCATTTGAATTTCAAATGTTGGACTAGGTCAAAGAGATAAGTTTATTTAAGTCTGTGAACATAAAATTAATTGAGGTTCAGTGATTATTAGAACTTACGTGTATTCTTAATGAAAGCTAATACAGTAATCAACAGGAAAATGTAAATGACTGTAATTTGTTTTAGAATGAAAATTAACTCTTGCCTTAGCAGCAGGATACCAGAGTGTTAACTGACAGGACTCTGGTTTTTTAGAGTGGCAGATCTTTTTTGGTTTTATTGATCATATTTGACAAAATTGTTATCAAGTACTGTGCTTTTAAAAATCTAGGATTGAAGAGACATGCCTTAGAGTACAAGTTGGTAGTTAAAGAATTACACTGTGTTGGAAGACTGAAGAATTTTGGCAGCTGTTATATGTAGAGTGAAAAGTGCCCACCGATAGCCCAGTGGATCTCCAGAAGGGGCAAAGAAAGATAAATTTGTGTGGTATTGATATTATATCTGCTGCAGCTGATTTCGCTCTTTTAAGAACCTTAACGTTGCTCATGTGTCACTGAGAACAAAAATGAGCCCAGCGTGCGAAATGGATTTTAAAACACTTGGTTCTTATAGAATTTTCTTAGAACGAATTCATGGGTCTAATTACGTCAGAAAAGGAAAAGAAATGATTCTGTTGTACGATCAGAATATAAAATCATAAGATGGAAATTGTAATTGTGTAAAATGGGTCTTTGGTAATTTAGGGTACACTTTAGTGTTTCGGACTATAAAGCCCCTTTTAAGTTCGGTATCTGCCTTGTATAATGTAGTCTACAGTTTTGCTGATGAAAAACTTTATAGTCCGAAACATGCAAAGTTTAATCTAAATTACCTTTTACACATATTAAACAATTGCTATTGCCATCTTAGAGTGTAAAATCCTAATTTTATCTTGTCATTTTATTTCCCAGCCTGACAATTATTTCAATGCAAACTGCTCCTTCTGGAACTACTCAGAGAGAACCATGATGGGATATTGGTCTACCCAGGGCTGCAAGCTGGTTGACACTAATAAAACTCGTACAACGTGTGCATGCAGCCACCTAACCAATTTTGCAATTCTCATGGCCCACAGAGAAATTACAGTAAGTATTTGCACTTCTAATTAGTAGCAAAGAAAAACCTTAGAGATTCAAAACAGCTTGTTGACAATCCCTTCTTTGGGTGCTAATTGTAACTAAAAAGCAGAGTAATGTGGACTTCTAATTGTTTGTACACTGGCCATGTATTTTAGGAAACCTTGGCACTATATTTCTTGTTCCATCTCAAAATCATGGGCTTTACAGACTTATTCTAAATTTTTCTCCTTTGGCAGAGATGGTTGGGGACTGAACAGCAATAGGTCATACGAAAGAGAGAGGGCTCTAAAGTTTAATACCCGCCTCATCATGAATGTTCAAATCTCATTTCACAACTTTTAAGTTTCCTAATCATTTTGCACACTGCAAAACTGCAGACTTTGAAAGGTCGGAATGGCTTCTGGAATGTTTCTTAGTGTATTCCTTTTTTTTTTTAAATTAAATTAATTGGGGTGACAGTGGTTAATATGAACATACAGGTTTCAGGTGTGGGTTTCTTTGTTCAAAGATCTGTATATTGCTCTGTGTGCTCACCACCCAAAGTCATATCTTCTCCCATCACCATATATTAAGACCTTCTTCAGTTCCCCTCTGGCAACCACCACACCTTTGTTTGTATCCATGAGTTTCAGTTTTATATCCCACATATGAGTGAAATCATATGGTTCTTAGCTTTTTCTGCCTGACTTGACTCACTTAGCATAGTATTCTCAAGGGCCATCCACGTTGTTACGAATGGCAGTATTTCATCCCTTCCTTTGTCTAAGTAGTAGTCCATTGTGTGCATGTACCGCATCTTCTTTATCAGTCCTCTGTTGCAGGACACTTTGGTTGTTTCCATGTCTTGGCCACCGTGAATACTGTTTCAATGAGCATCGGGGGCATATATCTTTGCGAATACGTACATGTTTTGGAGTTTTTTGGGTATATACCCAGGAAGTATTCCTTTTTGTGATTAAGAAAATAATAGCCAGAAGATAAAAATATTTTAGCATGAAAGCTCTCAGATCTGTTGTGTACTCAACTCTTAGTATATAAATATAAAAACCCAAAGGGAAAGTTCACATTTAAAATTTGACTTGTATGTTAGCTGGGAAAGTCATTTAAATACCAAGTATTTTAAATCATAACTAAGTATATTTTCTATATGTTTATATAGGCAGTTATTTCAATTACTTTGAAATAATTGGGCTCTTGCATTACTTTCTAGTAGAATCTTACACTTTCATAGGTCATTCTTTGGATATAAAAGTTGATGATATTGATCTGTCCTATATAATCAAAATTTCTTTTTAGTATTGAGCCCTATTTGAACACACATGAATGTTCAGAGAGCTCAGTATTAACAGATGAGCTATCACATTTGAAAACTATCTCACCTTTAGTTGATGTAATGAGGAATATTAACGTTTCTTATCCGTTTTTATTTTCAGTACAAAGACGGAGTTCACGAATTACTCCTTAGAGTCATCACCTGGGTGGGAATTGTTATTTCCCTTGTTTGCCTGGCCATCTGCATTTTTACCTTCTGCTTCTTCCGTGGCCTACAGAGTGACCGTAATACAATTCACAAGAATCTTTGTATCAACCTTTTCATTGCTGAATTTATTTTTCTAATAGGCATTGATAAGACAGACTACAGGGTAAGTACCCCTTCAGTTTATTGACCTTGGATCTCTGAAAATTATTATGACAAGTGTGAATCCCCTCATATGCTGATACTAATATTTGACCTCGTAACAATCTAATTGACATGGCACAATTGAAGGATAATTTGTAGTAAATGAAAAGACAGCCCAGTCATTAAGTAAAGTTGTCATGAGTTCATTCATTTCTCATATTTAGGTACAGTTGCATTCTTGGGGGTTGTTACTAAGACACATAATTTGATTAGCAGAATGCTGGGGATACTGAAATGGAAAGATCCTGTTTTTACAATTTTAGTTTTCTCACATAGTTATTCTGATCAGTGATCATTTCTTCATATTCTGAGCACTTTATTTGTCATGAGATTGCCATGTTAGAAACAGAACTTAGTAATTTTTCACCCTGTATTCACCTGCACTGGGGTGAATGTAAGAATCCTCCACATATGACAGGAAAATAATGTTAGGTAATTAGAGCTGAGGTATGTGTCATCAAAGCAAATTTTTAAAATTCTGGTACATAAAAAAATAGAAATAATATATTTGGAAACAGCTGTTCTGCAGACTTAGGAAACAGATCATCTCCAAGTAGAATATTAAAGATTTAATAATGGATAATTCTAGAAGAGAAATTAAGATATGTTTTCTTATTCCTTGAAAAAAAATTTTTTATTTCACTACAAATAGTGATGTCTTATAGTGAAAAAATTTCTAGCACACCTGGCATTATACTATAAGCATTAAATTCTTCAAATTTGGCAGTATTTCCATTTTTGGGGGGGGAAAAAAGAATTTTAAGAAAGCAGTGTTTAAATAACGATGTATTTTAGAGAGAGTAGTGAGCACCGGCGCAGGGACCCTCGGCTTTGGAGCGGGCCGTTTACATTCACCTGTTCTCCCTCGTTCTGTTTGTTCCCTTTTCTATAGATCGCATGCCCAATATTTGCAGGACTTCTACACTTTTTCTTTTTGGCTGCTTTTGCCTGGATGTGCTTAGAAGGTGTGCAGCTCTACCTAATGTTAGTTGAAGTTTTTGAAAGTGAATATTCAAGGAAGAAATATTACTATGTTGCGGGTTACTTGTTTCCTGCCACAGTGGTTGGAGTTTCAGCTGCTATCGACTATAACAGCTATGGAACAAAAAAAGCGTAAGTAATTGCAAGCGACCTGAGTGTTTTTCAAGTGAATAATTTTTTAAAGCCTGTTAGCTGTCAGTGAGGTTCCCTGACAGACTCAAATAGCCTCTGAAAGCTTTATTGGAAAGAGAATGGGCATGCCGTGCACAAATTACAATCAAGTCTTTTGTAATTTTCTGGGTTCAGAGGATCTGTACTCTGTGGAGGCAGATTCTAAATTACGGACTTACTTTTTAACACAAAAGATTGACCTGAAACAAATTGAAAAAGTAAATAACTTTTTGGCCTTTAGAAAGATATTAAGTAAAAATTCTTCTGAACTTAAAGCATCTGACAGGTTTAACTACTCAGTTTTAAGCTAATGCTTCATTAGCTCTCTTTGTGCAGTGGACCCTCTAGCTAACTCTCATTCTGAACTGAGACAGGAGCACATTCCTCCCCATATGTTTTACTTTGATAATATTTTATCAGGCAGTTTGAAAGGCTTAAAATAAGTCACTGTCTTTCATTTATAAAAATATAGATATTTATGGAAAGTGACAGAAGGTAGGACAGAGCCATGTTTCTAAGGATTTTATTTGCTGGAGGCATGAATTTGCCTTCTAATTCTGTTTATTTATTCCTTTGATAAAATTAGTTATATAAAGATTCTTTGGACTAAAGAAAGCTTTTTGACTGTACAGATGATGAAAGACAAATAAAAGAAATTCAGTGGGGATTCAGTGTTATATGAAAAATGAACCACTAAGTGAAATCTGTCTTAATAAGTTTATGCATCATTTACTCTAATACTGTAGGAGTCGATGCTTTGATTTTTTTTTTCCTCTAGTATTCATCCATTCCCAGTTGAGGTATTATATTTATGCTGTGCAGTTTTGCAACAAACATAATGCAATCATTTTTTTGTCTGTTGTGTTTCATAGAGGTTAAGCACTTTAGCTCACATATAGATCGGAAAGGCAAAAATTGAAGACAACTTTAACATGATGAGATAATTTGGAATATTGAGTTTCAAGTTTTTCTTAGGAAAGTCGGAGGTCTTAAGAATTAGGGATTGGTGGGGAGAGTGACTGGGGAGGGAGAAGGAACGGGGGGAGCGGGTCATTGGGGAGAAAAGGGGACATCTGTAATACTTTAAACAAAAATAAAAATTAAAAAAAAAGAATTAGGGATTGGGATGTGGTGGGATTTATTATTCCCTCATACGAACATAACTGCATCATTCTCAAATTTAAAAACTGAAATGAAAGCCAGTAGGTAAATAAATTACTACTTTTTAAGGCAAAGCCAACTCAAAATTAATAAAACTGTTCTTGTCCATGACAAATGAATTTTCAAAGGCAAATACGAAGATAGTTTTGTTCATTAGATTTTTGAATTTCAGTTTTCCTTGTGATGTTGAGGGTCCATTGAAGCTACTTAATACATCTTCTTTTCTTTTCATAATAGTTGCTGGCTTCAAGTTGATAACTATTTTATATGGAGTTTCATTGGACCTGTTTCTTTCATTATTCTGGTAAGCAGACTATTTTCCCTTCATTTCTAGCTTGCTGCTTTAGCAGTGCTATTGAAAAGGGGATAATTTGTTTTATTGTAATTAGTACTGTTTCTGAAATCCTCTCTCCTCTAAAAAGTACTTTTTCTCATTTCTAATTTAGTTTGATAAAAATGTCATGTCATAATGGTTGAAAATCTACTCTTATATAAACCATGTTAAGATTGCATGATGTGAAACGAGTTTGATAATTCGAAGGGAATAACTGATATGTGTAGCGTATATTGTTTTTGAGTAGTGGAGTGTTTTTACGAAGAGTTTTAATTCAGGAAGTTCTGTCTCCAAAATCTATAATATTAGTGCTATACCAAGTTTGTATGGCATTTATGAATTAAATGAATGTTTTATGGAAGTGAAAGAACATTAACTTAATATTTATTATCTTAATTTTCACACAGTAATTTAGTACTTTTAAATGTCCATACCCTAAGTTCTTTTAAGGATAGATTTTTTTTGTGTGTGATTTTTTTTTTTTCCATTACAGTTTGCATTCAACATTATTTTGTATTAGTTTGAGAGAACAGACTGTTGGTTGCCAGAGAGGAGGGGCTTTGGGGATGAAAAAGGTGAGGGGATTAAGAAGTACAGATGGGTAGTAACAAAGTAGTCATGGGGATGTAAAGTACAGCAGAAGGAATATAGTCAATCATATTGTAATAACTTTGTATGGTGCCAGGTGGGTACTTGAAATATCGAGGGGACCACTTTGTAAACTATATGGTGGTCAAAAAGATATTTTAAGCTTAGATTAATGAGTGAATAATAAATCCATTTTAGGTCCATTAGAAATAAAGTTAGTTTTCTAAGACTTAAAATACCAGCTAGCTTTTATTTTAAAATAAATTTGATATAAGTATATTGACGTTAGGTATTTTTTAAACTTCTTACGTTAGTGTTAGTGAAATATTTGAAATATAGTTGAAACAAAAAAATGTGGCTGCTAAGATACTTGGATTTCTGTATTTAAAACTTTTCACTAATCATAGCATCGTTAGAAATAGGTGTTATTGACCGTTACAACATTGAAAAGGAAACATGAACAAGTTTAGATATTGCCTACATCTTTTGATTACAGGTTAACCATTCTTTTTCTTTTAAAAGTGACACAAATGAACCTATTAGGGTATTTCTCTGGTTAACTTGCGTTTCATAAAATTGAGAAAAATTTTTAGTAGTTCAAGGAAATATAAAACTACTTTAAGTATATGCACATTTGTCACTAAAATGAATTTTTTACACAGTTATTCAAAGCAAAATGAAAATTTGAGGTGAATGCCTGTATGAATCACACCAGCAAAGTGGATTTCTCATTGGAATTATTCAATCCAGATGATTGCCCCAGTTTTTGTCCTTGGTTTACTGATGTTAACACTGCCTAAACCTATCTCGAATTATAAAACAAATAGCTCACATGAAGGGATACGGTCCTTAAAGACTCAAGCTTCTTTTTCCCCCCTCAGCCCTTGACCAAGCTTACGGATATGTTGAAAATTGTGAAGACCCTTTTAAGGATATTGGTTCTATATGTGTTTACTTCTTTTGTACTGCAGCTTTGTTTATTTTCCGTCTCTAAGGATAAACACTGACTTTAGAGTACTAAAAAACATTTCACGTGGCAGAAGCAGTGAATGTTCACATATACTTATTTTCCAGCAAGAAAAGAGGGAAAGGACATTTTATTACATTGCCCATTTACAGTGTCATTATTATCGCCTACCAAATCATCTAAGTTGAGATGTGAAGGGCTTTGGGGAGCAGTGTTCCCAACTTAAAACAAAACAAAACAGCAGGTAGCAATCACAGTTAAAGATGCTGAGAGTAATTCTTCTCTCGCAATTGCTTTGCCCTCTAACCGTCCCAGCGCAGACACAGAGTGAAATAGAGTGTAGAACATTGTCTTGCGTGTCTCCTGAATTGAGATACAATAGGATGGTAGAATACATGTTTGTTGAATAATAATATATTTACCTGCATTTATTTTTCTGGTAATACAGGACTTTTAAAGGGTAGCTCAGACACAAATCTTAATAATATAAATTATATAGTATCCTCTACGCTTTTAGGGAGTACTCTTATAACAAATGTTTCATTTCCAAATTTTCTGAATTGAATCTGTTAAAGCTTAGTAATATTAAATAAGTGTACATCTTTAATAATGTTCTATGAAGAAAAATAACATGCTATGGAAGATGAAACTTCCCACTTCTGCGTTTCTATTGAATGTCTCGCCTACGGGCCACTAGAGTTATTATATCTATGAGAAGAGTGCTTGTAAGTAATGAGCAGTGGGAAACCATTAGTATGCCTGAAATGGTTTAATGAAAGCTTGGATCATGACACCTCAGGAGCTATTCTTATCATTTGGACAGCTCCATCTGCATCGTTAATAATTAATTCAGTTCAGTAAGAGTTCAGCTCACACACTCATTTAGAAGTCTTCTTCAGAGAACACCTCTCTGGCTGCTCGTCCCTGGGAGAAATCGGTTTCTGCTTGGCTAACAGCAAAGATCTGGAGATACAAGTGCAGTTTTAGAGTTGCATTTGCCAGGCAGCAAAAGCTCCAGGGAGGGCAGAAAGGGTCAGAACATGTGCAGTTCAGTTGGGTTACTTCAGAGTGGTGTTCCTGTTCTTCTGTCTTATCGTGTCCATGTCAGCACTGCAAGCTGTGGAATGAATTTTAAGCTGCTAAGCTCAGGCGGATGTGATTCAGTTGAGCAGGTTGATGACTGTGTAACACAAACTGTGCATTCCTGTAATCCGTGGACCCTTTTTCTGTTTTTAAATTTCTCATGTCATCAGTATGGGTGGTGATGAGCTGTGCATATCATTAAGTAGTGATTCATTTTATTGGCAAACTATGCTGGAGGGTTATTTAAATGATAATTTATACAATTGTTATTTTGTGATAGGTAAAAGTGTCATTTGTCATTGGAAGAGAAAGAATCCCCCCATTTTGGGATTTACTATGTTTTAGCTAAATAGGAAAAGATTTTTTCCTTCTGAATTTGCTGTCAGTCTTTTACACAGAATTCTATTGAGATGCCTATATACCTGTTTACCTGTGTACACACATGCATGTGCAAGCACACGTATACACACGTACACGTACAGGGTGGAGCTGAAATGTGATTAATTCCTGGATGAGTTGCCTCATCTCCAAAATTGATCACCAGTATGGGCTTTTAGGCTGGCGAGTTGACATACAGCATGTAACACAGCCTGCCAGCCTGTGAATCGTTGAATGATGCCATGTACCCACCAGGGTTAGACAACTCTTCGTGTACATAGCTGCAACTCTGTCTTTCTCCTTTCTCACTGGTACATAACACCTTTCAACCTATCCCAAGATACTGTGTTTTAGACTCCGTAGTGTTTATGCTGGAGAGGAAAGACAAAGAATGAGGGCCAAAGGGGGCTGTGTTGGAATTGGAGGGAGACGAGCAACACTCGGACAGTGGGGACAGCCCCTCCTCCTTGTCTTGTGGCCCGCCTCTGGTGAGAAATGGGAAGATTCCGTGTTTGTTGGTTGTGATTTATCTTTTCAATGCGTGCCAAATGCAGGAAAATAAATTGGAAGAAATAAAACTGAGAGAAAAAAGAGATCATGTACTCCAACCAAAAGAAAAAAACAAAAGCACGGCAGTGTGTGGCTGGAAAGGGCCATTTATGTCATGGGAAAAGTGCAAAGAAGGAAGAGCTCACAGTTGCATCCAGTACTTTATTTGAAATTAAATGCTTTCAGTCTTCAAGTGACTATTTGGGATGATAGATTTGATCAAAGATGTTTCTATTTGCCTGTTTGTTTTGATTTTCAGTTGTATTTTAAGAGAGCAAGAAAGGAGTAGAGGAGAGAAGGGAAACATATCTGTTGAAGTATTTTACTCTACAAAATCATGATTCTTATTAGAGTATATTATCTCCAGAAAAGATCATAGAACAATATTTATTCTCTGAAAATAAAAATTGGCATTTTTAAAGCATTGGAAAAAAATGAAAGAACTCCACATTTAAAAGTTTATTTACATTTCAGTATATGCTCTGTTTAATTCCAGAAAATATTTCACTGTCATATGTGTTGATAGTAACATATTAAAGTATCCAATACCTAAATGATATTTATTTTTTTATTTGTCATGAAGGTTTTTTTAAATGTAGAGTTGGAGAAAAGTATCTTAGCTTTTTTTGCCACCTTATGTTATGATTTTCAATATGTTATGCAGGCTTTTTTTCATAATTACTTTGACTTGGTGGTATTTCTTCCTACTAAAGATACCATTGCCTCTCCACTTGTCTAACTTCAAGTCATATTTCAAAGGCTAAATTGGTGTTGGATTTAACTGTACATTTCGTGGGATCTAAATATTAGTGGATCGTCTATAATTTAATTTCAGTTCTTTGAATTGGAGAATTCACAGACACTTCTGAAAGCATCTGAGTCAAATATCCTTCAGTGATTTTATGATTTTATTTCTATTATTTTTAGTTGGCTTTAAAGAGACTCACTTTTTAAATGTCCCTTAGAAACATTTGATATTAAATACTTTAGAAACTATAGCCCCTGTTTTTGCACTCAGCTTTTATGGCTCTGTGTGATATTTAGTTACGTGAGTTTAAGACAAACAGGTTTGAGAAAACGCAGCTGGTAAGCATACAGTTTGGCTAGTGGGAGTGAAAGTGTATGGGCATTTTAGCTGTTTGCTGGTGATGGGATGGTAGTGTTCTACAAAGGAAATTGAGAATTAGTTATTTTGGCAAGTCCATCAGGTGGAAGTCATTTGACAAGCACACCTCATGTTATTTAGGATTTCTCTGAGGCTGTATTTTATACAGTCATTACTTTACTATTTATCTTCAACTAATTCACCATAGGAGTGATTTATAAATTGGATTACTCTTTATAGAAGTGGAACACTTTTTAAAATATAAAACTACTATATCTCTGTTTTGTTTGAAGGCTAATTTTTTCTCCCAGAATAAATTGCTTCATTTTATTTGGAGAGACTGTGTACTGTGGAGCCAGACCACAAGTATACTAAATCTCAGCACTGACATTATAGTAGCTAAGGAATCTTTGGCAAGAAACTTAACATCACAGATTTGCAAAATGGCTATTTAGTTATATTTTAAAAGAACAAGAAAGGAAATAGAAGAGGGGG